AGTAAATATTTATAAACTAAAATATACAGGAAGATATATCTAAGCGTTTTTGTTATTAGGCAAATTATCGTGAATTAGAACATTCAAAAGAAAGAATTAAAGAAGAATACGAGAAAATGTTGGAAGAATCTCGTTTACGTGAAAGTACTTTAAGAACCATGAATAAGGTATAATAAGATTCGTTTTAAAATTATTATATATATATATAGCGGCTAACTTTCATTCGCATGATTTGATATTAGACTTTGCAAGAAGAAGTCAGAAAACTTCATAAAATAGTAGATCGAAACGCACCAAATTCACCACAATCTCCTGGCTATTCACGAAATCCTTCAACTTCCACATCATCGTTTAATAATAGTTTAATGGATGATGATACGAAAATACTTTACATTAGAGATGTGATATTAAAATTCTTGGAATATAAGGATCGTAGAGTAAGTTTTTGTTTGAAAGATTTACAAGAATTAATGACCATTCCATTTTTACTCATGATGATATTCTTTTTTTCATTAGAAATCTTTACTTCCAGTTTTAACAACTGTACTTCAAATGTCCGATCAAGAAAAGAGAAAACTTGAATCAATGTATGGTAAATAGTTCAATTTTTTATTTATAATATACAATTTAATTAGTTAATATTTAATAGAATAAGATAAATTTAATGATAATTTTGATAATTTGAATTCCGTCACTTTATTTATTTATTTTTTTTTACTTGAATTTTCTGATGTAATTTTTAAACTGTTATGGGTAAATTATTTCAGTGAGATAAATGCTTTGTCAAAATTACTTTGATTAAATAATACTAATTTTTCGAGTCTCTTATCATATAATCCGTAAAATCTAATTTATTATAATATCTAATTTCAAATTCACGGAACAGCCAATAATATCCGTTCGTAGCGATATTTTATTTCTTCTGCAAAATGATCGGCAATCCCGTGAGATTTGAAATTCGTGTATATAACCCAACTATTATGTAATTATTTCGTTTCTTCCGCCTAAATTTATAATATAGATTCCCAAACGTAATTTTTTGATTTCTTTATATTATACGCAGGAAATCATTTGAATTTAAAAATTTAAGCACGATAATTATTTATTTATCACCTTTGGCATAAAGGGATACAAACTTTTTTTAAATTCAGAATTTTTTAACTTCCGCTTGATTACGGACAATAAGTATGAAAAATGATATATCAATTGATTTGCTCTTACAAAAATTTTCCC